CAGGGACAACTTATTAATATTCTTACATATGTTCCAAATACTAATTAGACTTAGTACGCACAGCTGGTTCTTCTTGAATTAATGTTCTTATTGGATTGTAGGGCAACATAGAACAGTGAATATAGAATAAACAGAAGATAGGGACGGACTGGGACTGGCATTGGGCTCTAAAAATAACATCAAAGTGCAATGCAATGCACGCAAAGCGAGGCACGAAAGGATTTACGAGCTTGATCGAAAACAGCCCTTTGGCCCCAAAACAGCAACGAAACGACATGCAACATTTACAACAACAACAAAAACAATAATAATGATGACGATGAGTGGCACTTTGGTGGAACTGGCAAATGCCAGGAAATGCCAGGCAGCGGCAACGACGAAGTCGAAGTAAAAGTAAAGAAAATTATAAAAAGAAACTAAAAGAGGAAGAAAAAGCCGGAGATACGAGACAGCTAATAATAGAATAAATGCATCAACTGCAAAGCAAAAGCAAATATAACAAAGTCACAAAAAGTAGAAGGAGACGTAACGCCTGCAACACGGCACCTATGTTAATTGTATGTTAAAGCGCTGTTGGCTGTTTAACATTCCTTATTATTTTAGTGATAGTCTTCAGATAATCACATTGTGTTTTCTGTTACATTTACAGTAGCTATAATATAGTTCTAAAATCTTCTTGATATCAACTTCAAATGACATTTAATTTTTCTTTTATATAATATTGTATTAAATTCCTTAACATCCTATGGCCCCAACTAAATTATAAATGGTTCTCTGTGTTTTTTTTTTTTATGAAAATAACTATAACAAACAGAATGTTTACATATATTATAAGTATAACTTTAAACGAGTGGGAAAGCTGCAAAACCGACTACACACGCGTCACCTGTTTGCCGTGTGCCCACAACACATACACACAGATATCAACATCTAGTGGCTGTGCGTGTGGCTTCCATTAGCCATGTGAAAAGTTCATTTGCCTCGTCTCATAATTTGCTGCTTGCATGTTGCAAGTAAACAGCAAAAAAGCAGAGTCCAGTCCAACGACCATTAACGCCTCCTCCCGCTGCTGCCTTCATCTATCCAGCGACTCACATTACCAAAGAGAAAGAGGGCGACAGGGACAGATACACAGAGTGACAAACACTTTGCACACTCAAGGAGTTTTGCAACTCACATCGAGGCTATTTTGAGACACGACGACGCGTCCCCAAAAGCGAGGAAACGACAGTGACGCCTCCTATTTCTCCCCCTCCCCCTCCCCATCCCCATCATCATCCTTCTCTTTCTCTTTTTTGCCTTTCTGCTCCCTTTATGTTCTTCACTATTTCCCTCATAGCTTGTTCCCACACCCAACGCTCAACTATTTGCAATTGGCAGTTCCACTGAAGCAGAAACGGTAGTCGTCTTTTTTTTCCCAGCGGTATCCAAAATTCAATATCCATTTGTATATCTCCTCATTTGCCTCAATCTGCTCTATTGCCTCCAAAACGTATCTAATTACAGCGTCTCGTAAAACTCGGCTCTTGCTTTAGTCGAATTGCTCCCATTGTGCATAGATAACGCCTACAACTATCACACAGTGTGACAAAAAATTAAATTTTGTGATATATTTAGCAACAAATAAAACGTTATTATCCTAACGGTTCCATTCCAGTCGATACAGAGAGTCAAAATACAATATAAAAATAATACGTAGAATATAAGAAGTCAGGGCTCTCGCCCTTTAGTTCCACTGTGCCTTATTGTGGCAACAATTATAGCCGTCTCTCTCGCTCTCTTACGCTCGGCATCTCTCTCTCTCTTTCTGTGAGTGATTTCATTTTGAAATAGCGCCTGCCATTCGGTCTGTCGCATTCGACCTGGTCGCGACTGCGGTTGCTGCCTTGTAATCTGTCTACCAGACCCACAATTTTACAATGTAATTTTATAATAACAACAACAATAACAACATCAAATATTGCATCTTCTATGTGAATTTCAGCATTCGATTGCAATTTACTTGATTCATTTCGTGTGGGAAAACGTAGGTTAGTTTTCTGTTCGGCGCTGAACTTTAAGCTACAAAGGCAAGTATGCAGCTCACGTAGAAGCCAAAAAAAAAAGTTGACTGATAAATAGCGCGAAACGTGTTTTGCTTTATTTTTATTTGCGCTGAGGGTTATTCGATGCCACAACGCATACATTCATTTATATAAGTTCTAATTTGCGAGCAAGCGTTGTGGATATTATTTCATTTATTATTATACAAATATATATGCATATATGAAATTTCTTGGGGGTTTTATCAAGCAATAAATAAATAAATTACCAGACAAACTGCTTATATGATCTTAATTTGCACTTGATAAGTCCCGGCAAAGGTTTTTTTTTTTTTTTTTTCTTTTGCTAACTGCATACTGAGCTGCCTCTATGAAAATTGTAATCTGTGACTAAATGCGTTCGCATAGCAAATTAAACGGATCGCTTATCAGCTGAAGAGTGTTCGGTCATAATACTCGTCATAAAACGATTTAATCCTATAAATAARTAATTATAATTGCAAACAAATTGCTACGCAACAACAACAAACGAGGCAAATAATCGAAAGAAAGAAGCATTTTTTAATTTGGAGCTAATTTCAATACCAATCGCTGTTATCCAAATGCATTGCTCAATTATTAGCTGGGCGATGTAGACTTATCTTATTTGAACAGTGAATATACCTTATTTAATAAAATTAAATGTTAATCAAATGTCTGACATTTGTAGGGTTATATCAATTCCTTATGTATAAACGCAAATTGCTCGGTGATTGGCTCGATATTTAGCTTAATATATACAGCGCCCCAGCCCCGTCTATTGTGGTAGGACAGCAACAGGGACATAAAAAAGCTATTAAGAGAGGCACATACAGAGAGCGAGAGAAAGAGAGAGAAATAGGGAGAGAGAGAGAGAGAGAGAGAGAAAGAGAGAGATAAAAGGAAATGCTACAGCTTGTCAAAGCAAACAACGGAATAAGGGAAAATCAAATAAGAAGGAAGGAAGAAAAATAAAATGCGTATGTAAGGAAAACGCAGGAAATGCCTGTCGACTAGTTTCTATGTCGGGGTGGGGTGGTGTCTGCTGTTGCTGCTGCTCTTTCAACCACTGCTCAGCGGCAGAAGGGTGTAGGTGAGGGTGTGGGTGCGAGGGTTATGGGGACATATTAAAAGGAGCAGAAATATCAGCAGCAGTTGAAACCGCCCTCAAAAATAATTTCAAATTCCTCTCATTTCTTTGACGCGTGCCTCGAAATTCTGTTTACGCTTGTAAACAAAAGCGAACAGCAGCAGCAGCAACAATTACAACAACAACACTAATCAAAACTATAGACAATGCCGGCAACAGCAGTTATGGCAACAACAACAAGAGCACACATTCCGCTYTTTAAATAAAACGGAAGCAATGAATATTTGAAATTGGCTCAATTGAAGAGAGCAGCGCCCACAGAGTGCAGAAGGAGCAAGTGAAAGGCAGAGAGAAACAGAGAAATAGAGAGTGGATGAGAGTATGCTTTAGAATCATAGCGACAGACGGAAAGAGAGCGAGAGAGCTGTCAAAAGCTATGTATATATTAGTGTATACATACTGTAAGTGCAGTTGTATGTATGTAATGATGCATTTGTACAATACACTTATGTGTATGTGTTGGTTTATTTGTATGCAATACACATGCATCCACATATAAACTGGCATAATGTTACATACCATTGTGTTCCGTAAATATATTTAAGCCAACGCTGGGATTGCAGCGATTATCCTTGTGGTTCGCACTCGAGCTGCCGCCGCCTCCACCTCCACCGCTGCGAAGCGCCGAGGAACCACTCGAATTGATGCTGCCATGTCCTGAAGATTGATGTGATTTCATGCGAGAATTGCGTAAAGTGGAGTTGGAGCTCAGGCCGCCAACGGATGCGCCGCTGTTGCCGCCACTGATGCAGTGCGGCGAACCGGATGCTACGGGACTGCTGCTAGTGCCGACACCAATACAGCTAACGGTACCGCCTCCGCCGCCACCGCTCGAATGGGAGCCGCGCTCCTTGCCCTGTTGTGCGCCCATCCTTCCAATCACATGCACCCCGAATGCACTATTATTTATTTTTTTCTATATTTTTTTCCACAATTTCGTTTTAGCTGCGCTGCAATATATATATATATACATATATATAATTTTTTTTATCGCATTTGCACTTGCTTTATTTTAATTTGCTGCTCTACACATTTTCTTTCGTGCGTCGTCGTCTCTTTTCTTTCTTTCACGAGATGCGCTCTCCATACACACACACTCACACTCGCACTTGTATTGCTACTCCAATTTGCAAATTGAGAGTAGAAAAAATTCAAGGATGTTGCGAAATTACCAATCAGATTTTTTCCTTTAACTTCTTTTGTGTGTTTGAGGAGACAATTAAGATATAGATTTTTTGTGTTGTTTCATTTGTTGAGTGCGCCAGTGCTTTCAGGGGGTAACTGAAGTGGAGGGAGTCTGGCTAGGGCTTACAAACACGCCCTAAAATGCACTTTGTCTGCCCGTCTTACGTCTTTCACACTGCTGCTGCGTCTGCGTCTCACATATTTTGCATTTACAGAACCAAAATTGAAATTGCTCTGCGTTTTTTTCCTTTGTAGCTGTGTGTAAGTGCAGCTTTGAAGTTATCTATATCTTTGCATTTTTCCCAATTACACTCACACACACACACACGCACAGAAAAATGAACCACCCGCACGACACAGCGCACCCGACAGGCTTAAGTAAAATTTTCAAGACGACTGCAGCTAGAGTGACCGCACTCTACTAACGAACAAATATCACAAGCTGACGATGGTGCGCTAGGCCAATTGAGGGTTCGCTCCGGATTGCGCGCAGCCAACATCAAGTGAGTAGAATAATTGCGTTCAGCCACTAACCACTTCACGTGAAAGTTATCGAACTAGTTCTGTTCGTAAACAACCATACGACTCCTCAAGTCACACCGTACAGGTATTTCACACACATATATAGATAGTTCTGGAATTTTTAGTTTTAATTACAAAATAGTCACTATATATATTCATATTAAGGAAAGAATTAATAACAAAGCAGTCAAAAGTAAGTCGTTTGTCATTCACATAAATGTGCCGCACGCTTTTTGCTACACGTTCAACGTTTATTTCATATTTACGCCATACAAAAATAAAAAGATGTCGGACTGGGATACGGTAACTGTTTTAAGGAAAAAGGCCCCTAAGTCTAGCCAACTGAAGACCGAATCAGCTGTTAATCAGGCACGCCGCCAAGGTGTTGCCGTTGATACGCAGCAAAAGTGTAAGTAAAATAAGCAAGACACAGCCAATGTAACCAAATGAAGTCTTTGACGGCGGCAGGCAGCAACGTTTTTTATTTAATTTTCTTTTTTTTTTTTTTTGGGTAGGGGCAGTTGGTGGGATGTGCAGCTGCTGCAATATTCGATGTGATTTGCGTGGCATTTATTGTTGTTGTTTCTGCTGCTCAAAAGTGGCTTTCTAGGCATGTGTGTGTAGATGTAGGTGCACATGTATTTATGTATTCGTGAATAGTCCAATTTCGCATTACTTTTACATTTCACAATGTTTTGAAAGCTTTGCGACTCCTCAATTAAATGATAGCCGGCCATTTTGGCCACTGTCTTGCGCGGACCTGCAATCGAAATACAGCTACAAATTACGAAAAGCGAGCTGCTAACTATTGAGTGAATTTGGAGTATAGTATAAATCAATGCTAATTAAAATAACAAATTCAAATTTATTATTGAGAGCGAGAGAGACACTCTACCAAAGTATTTTTTTTTTTTTTTTTTTTTGCTTTATTGGCAATTTGAACCTATGCCAATAGGGTAGGTTCTCTTCTTCGATTTTGCACATCTCCGAGGTCTTTATCTGATTTCATACCCATTTAAAAGAATTTATTCTGCTGGTTCAGTTCATGAGTTAGTTTCTCATCATATTTCAAACGTATTTTTGATTCAGAATGTTAAGAGATAGCTTAATAGCATTTCTCTCTGTGATGCAAGTAGTTATTGATTGGCTTAATAAAAAGTGTGTTTGTTCAATTGAATTTTTTCAGCTTATATAGATCAAAGGGTCAACTGGTAATTTGGGTGAATCAGTTCTTACACAGCTTTCAAATGTATTTGGACAAGACGTTGGGCTTAAAAGGCGTTTTCACGCTTGTAATTGATTGGTCTAATTAGAACACGTTTATACTTTCTACTTAGATGGTGCTGGCACCAACAAGCAGCATGTGACTACTAAGAACACTGCCAAGCTGGATCGTGAGACTGAAGAATTGCGGCATGACAAGATACCGTTAGATGTTGGTAAAATAATTCAGCAAGGACGCCAAGGCAAGGGTATGAGCCAGAAGGACTTGGCCACGGTAGAGATGAATTTAGAAAAATTTAAGAATGAAAATTAATATTCTTATATTTGACCCAGAAAATCTGCGAGAAACAGCAAGTGGTTACGGATTATGAAGCTGGTCGTGGAATTCCCAACAACTTGATACTTGGCAAAATGGAGCGGGTGCTTGGCATAAAATTACGTGGCAAGGAGCGCGGCCAACCAATAGCGCCTCCCGGTAAAAAGTGAGATGATGCTGCTGCGTCTACTATACACGTTGCTTTCACTACTAACAACACCAACAAAAGCAGCAGCAACAACACCAGCAATAAACATCCAAGGCAACAACCACAATTGGACTCTGGAGGTTGGAGTACTGTGTGCAGTCGACGCAAATGAAGCAAATATCGGGAGGCTGTTTATCAACAACAACAGCAGCAGCAACAAAAGGAGAGTGAACGAGTTAAGAAACCATCAAAAGCTATTTAAACAACAAAAACATCAACAAACAATCCAATCAAACAGCCATGAGCGCCAACCACACAAGCAACATTCGCAACTAATTCTTTTCTAACATTTTTCAATTTTAAATAATTTACAATTTAGTGACTAAAATTCAAACATTGTAATTCAATTATTGGTAAAAAGAAAAAAAATCCCTAAACACTCATAGCTCACGGGACAATGCGAAACGCAACAACAAACTATAGCCTGAACTAAAATGAAAAACTATACTACAAATTTATTAAAATATGTTGCAAATGGCTCGAAAAAAGTTGTAGTTCTGTTTTTTGTGAGTTTATTTTGCTCATTTTTTGGCATTTCTTTAACACTATTATAATTTATTGTTTTTATTTATAATGAATACGTTTTATATGCATTAAAAGGATGAAGCGTTGAATTATACACACGAAGAAAAAAACAAAGAAGCCATAAAGATATTCCTTTTATTTGATTCATTCTAAGTGGAAGATTGGTTGGACTCAAATTTTGGCTGTTTTTCACATAACAATACTATATATACTAATATGCATGCATCATAAACTACTTACATATGTATATTCCGTATGTAGGATTTGTGTAATACACTAGAGCTTATCCGGATCCTTTTTGTAATCTATCACATATTACAAATAATTATAATAATAATGTCTAGGTTCTGGGGTCTTCAAATGTGCGTTTACTTAGAAACAGTCACACACACACACACACGGAGACTCTTCCGCACACACTCTTGCAAAATACACTTTTTAAGTATTTTAGCAAAACATTTTCTAGTCTAGTATTACAAAATTTTAATGATATTTTAATTATCGAAACATTTTTGGAGAATAACACTTTCTCGATAAAGATAAAGTCAAAAACTTATATAATATATATGTATACATAAATGTAGTAGTAAAACATTTTTCCAGAAAATAAATGTTTTCCCTCTTAGACATTTTGCGTTTAACTGAGTTCCAGTTAATCGGGTATAGGTGAGGCTGAAATATTAGCCTTGAACTTACATCAGATTACATAGATCAATTACAAACGGAATTCGGAGCAACGGCAATGTCAAGATGCCAAGTAAACAACTTCGATCTTTCAAACTGCGTAAAATTAGAAACTATTTTGTAGTAAATTAAATTAAAAATTTTTCGGGCTCTATATACATTTCAGCTATGCATTAATGACTTTGAGGAAATACTTAAAGCAAATACTTGGAGGAATTTCTTAGAGGAAATACGTCGAGGAAACACTTTTTAGATTAGGTCAGGAAATAAATAGGTCAGCTAATGAGTCTATAGCTATTGTACATATTGGTTGCCAACCTATATTTGATTTTATTATTATGATGATAGCTTGTTAATTATGTTGGCAACTTTTCATTTTTTCCATTTCTATTTTTCACCCGGAAGCCTAGTTTTATCCACAGTCCAACTCATTTTGGAACTCAACACCTGACGCACTAGATTTCATGCATCTGTTTCCCATTGGAGTGTCATTTATATCTGTTGTGTTGTACCTTACCATTTTACTGTTGTATTTACTGGACTATGCCATGGGTAAGCCTACTGTTATGCATATAACAGGCAGACTATATGAACTGAAACAAAGACATGGAATGAAACACCTTCGTTATTTCCTTTTCCTTTTGTTACCTTTTATTTATCCGTTTTCCAAGCTTCTTCCTTTTTGTTCGTTATTAAATTTTTACCCGACAAAAAATTGCATGTTTTTTTTTTTTTTTAGTTTAGTTTGGTTTTTTTTTTTACTGTCTCAGGAACGCATGAGCATTCGTATTACTTCAACTCTCCCTTTCTTTCTTTCTCGTTCTTTATCTACTTATTTTTTCTTTGCTTCGTTTATACTAAATTAACTTTTCAAGTAGGACTGTTTGCTTGACTTTTTTTTTCTTACAAATATAAATATATAATTTAAGCATTTGCTTTGTTTTTCTTTGTTACATTCTTTTTCTTCTTCTTTGCCATTAGAAACTTTTTGATCATTTCAAATTTCTTGAAAAATTAAAAAATCAAAACTAAATGCATGCCCCTGCCACGTTTTTTTTTTTGTTTTTCGCGTTAGTTTTTTTTTCTATCAAAAGTTAGTTATTGAATTCAGTTTATGTTTTCTTCTTATTTTCAACTTCTTTTCTTTTAACAATTTGCGCAAATAGAAAACTAGACTAAAACATTACATTGATTTTCGAGTTCTCTGCCCAGAATATCGATTAGAACAAAACAGCTAACACAATCAGTTAGAGTTATATATGAATATATGTATATATACATACATAAATGTATACATACATATATGTATATATAAGTATGTAATTAGTTGTGTATATAGATAGTTATTTGTAGGATCTAAGCTTCGTTTAAGTATTTATTAAACACAAATGTTAAATATTATTTATTTCTCTTTTTTACAACAAGAAAACAAATTGGAAAACTATACTCGAAGTATTAAGAACTTTAGGCTTAAACAGCACACGGCTCGGGGCTGATTATACAGATATAGTATATGTATAGCATCTATATACATATATCGCTGACTCTTTGCTTTATGGACTGATAAAAGTTCATCCGTTCCATAGCTAACTTTTTACAAAAATCACCTAACTGACTCGACTTGGCTTCAAATTTTCAATTTCAATATGTACATGACATTTTATATATATAAATAAATATATATAGATGGGTGTGTGTAAGCCAGTTTAGCCTGGTAAAACTCTAAACTTATAATTAAAGTTGATCAAACGCCCCTCATATGTGCGCCAGTATCTGTGTGTGTGTAGAGTTTTGCCTGGGTTTAAAACTTAAAAAACAACTTTTACATCCCGCTAAAGTATAAATCAAACGTCCTTAGCCTTTTTGCGAGAGGAAGAGGGGCGCATGCTACATTAAAGTTAGGCTCTACTGTGCCTTCGCCTTGCGTATATAGGCAGCCTGTGCATCCTCGCCAACATATTTGCTAGATATGACGTTCGCATCAGCTGTGGAAATGGGGCTCGACAATTTGGCCGTATTCTGTGCCACCAACGAGGCGGCCATGCGGCGACTCTTGTGACCACCGGGCGACAGGTAGGCCTTGTAGAAGAAGCGTGCGAACAGCACAAAGTAGCTGAAGTACATGGCAATCGATAGATTGATGTTGCGCTGCGATATATTGCACGATTGCGTGCCGTGCGTCTTCAGGAATCCATTCGCCCACACATTAATCGCACAGCCGATGATCATTTGTGTCAGCTGCAGCGACGTGATGATCATTGAGATGAAGCGTGGGGGATTGAAGCGAGCCGCTTTGAGCGCATAGTAGCTGTACATCACGGAGTGCACACAGTAGTTCATCACAATGAACCAGCGGGCGGAACTAGTGTATTCGGTGTAGCTGAACCACGAGTAGATGAGCACAGTGATGTGATGATACCAGTGCAGGAAGATCAATGGCTGTTTACGCAATACGATGAATATCGTATCGCCCAATTCCGGCAGTTTGCTCAGCACAAATAACCAGGTCCAGAAGCCGCACACACGGTCTTGCTCAATGTAACTGCATCAGAGTGGTAGAAAGAGAGCAAAAGGGAGAGAGAGATATATGATGATGTTGTTGAGCTTGCAAAAAGAGTATTGAAGTACTTTACCTGGGCACACAGACCGAATGGAATAGTCCATAATGTCGTAGGACGTGCAACAGTTCCGGCGCAGTGCGTGCAGCGCCCATTATGCTGAACATGGCTAACAAGGTGTTCCATATGATCAGTGGGCCACGCAGTTGAAATCTAAAAGAGAAAAGAGGTCGAGAGAGTGGGTTAAGATAGTTAAATCAAGATTAAGTTTTCTAAAAAATGAACTAGTTCATATGTTTCTACTAATATTCTCGAAATAGCACATTTACGTCAACTCTATCGCTCGTCATAATTTGTCTGTGTGACTTTGACTGATCATGAATATGCAAATATTGCATTGCAATAAGCAAAGATCAACAAACTTTGAAGTTTATTTTAAGTTAAGTCAGTTAATAGGGCGAGGCTGTGGCAGCGGGAGCAAATAACAATAGCAACAACAATAATCTATGCAATAATCATATGTCATTCATTTCATGAAGTGTTTATCATTTAGCTATTTAGTTGGCCTAAAGATCAATATTAATTTGCGCGACACGCGTGACACTCCTGGGGGCATGAGCCCTCACCTATGAAACACACATACATATTGGCTTGCATATAAGTACATAACACACATATACATATATATAAGTACATAGCACACATATACACATGCATATGTGTTATCTGGCTAATCGTTAAAGGTTACCGCGAAGTCAAAGCATTTAGATTTTAATTATCAGATCTCCCAGCATTTGTGAATCAACAAACAAAAAAATCTAAATAAATCGTGCGATCGGCACGTCATTTACGATCTTACTTATTTAATATATAAGTTTATATAGTATATATACCCTTCAAGAAGGACAAGGTGTTCAGCTACGCACAGTGTTCTGTCAGTTACAGCTCTTGATCCACATAAAGTGATCTCAAGTTATATAGATACTAGACATTATTAATTATTCTTGATTAAAATGTTTAAGCCCCGAAGTTTGTAAATCACTATTAGTTCATAAATCTAAACTAACCATGAAGTTTACTTAGCCAGTTGATCCATATATTTTTAAAATCTCCCCACCTCTAGATCATATTTATTCATTATATAGCTAAATCATGTGATAAAAAGTTCCCAAAGTTGATAATTTACTTTTGATCGCAATTAATGAAATTTTTTAATCCGTGCTCCAAACATGTTTCGCAGGTTTAATGAGCGTGAAACTGTTTTATATATCTACTTATATATATACACACATCCAACAATAAACACATCGTTCTAAAATGAT